CACCAAGACCAAGTCAATAAACCTACTACCCCAAAATCAAAATTTATAAGCAATCAACCCCTTCCAAGCTCACATCTATCCCTATCAGTGTATTTTGTTTTTTGTTTTTCCATAAAACCCCAAAATGTCCCCTTCCTTGCTCTCCCTTACAACAAAAAAAAGCCCTAAACAAAACCCATTTCTTCTCATCATGATTTTCCTCCTCTTCTGCGTACCTGAATTTGCTGACGGCAATGCCACCGCCAGTTTCACAAGAAAGTTCCCCTGTGCAATTTCCCTCTTCCAAAAAAAAAGGAAAAAAAGAAAGAAAAAAACTCCATCAGTCTCTACTCGCTCATTCCTTTATCATTTCATCAAACGAAATGCCTATCAACCTCCATTCCTACTAAAACCTCCACAGCTGCCGTCTCACTGCCGATGACATTAAGACCCTAGCCTATTTTTATTGCCTCTACAATAACATCTGTGTCTTACAAGTTTCTAGAAGGGCCATCAACAATCCATTCACAGTGTCCTACCTCCTTCTCCGTGACTCCTTCGACAACATCCACTTCCTCTTCTTCCTTCTCGAAACCCTAACCAATACCTACTTAGACGGCTTCGCCACTCTCCTGTCGATCCCCACCGTGGGAGTCGTTAGAGCAGGATCATAGAAATGGGAAGGGGGAAGAGACTAACAACGGAAGTAAATTTTTATGAAAGAATTAGTTTTGATAGATTAAATGGCTTATGTTATTGTAATAAACTACACCCTAGAGAGATGGGCAAATGCTTATTTCCCTAGTATAAGTTATGATATTGTTTAAGGATAATTTTTCAAAACCGACTGAATTTTTTTTTTTTTTTTTCAAAACCGACTGTTTTTTTTTTATTTATCAAAATCGACCCGGTTTTGTGATTAGCAGGCTAATCACAAAAAAAAAAAAAAAAACAGTCGGTTTTGAAAAAAAAAAAAAATCAGTCCGTTTTGAAAAATTGTTCTATTGTTTAATTTAGTGTGTAGTATAGTTGTTAACCATACAGATTGGTTGTTAAGTTTATATCATAATTGTTAAGTTTATAGCGTAGTTGTTAAGGTTACAATTTAGTTGATAATGATACACGTTAGTTGTTAAGTTTATAGCTTGGTTGTTAATGTTACAATCTAGTTGTTAAGTTTATATATTAATTGTTAAGTTATAGTTTAGTTGATAAGGATACATGTTAGTTGTTAAGTGTAGCTTGGCTATTAATATCACAGTTTTAGTTGTTAAGTTTCCAATGTAGTTGTTAAAGCTACAGTTTAGTTGATAAGGATACATGTTAGTTGTTAAGCTCACAGCTTTGTTGTTAATGTTAGAGTTTAGTTGTTAAGTTTACAGCATAGTTAT